ATGGTGCATGCCTGTAATCCCAGCTACTCAGGAGGCTGAGGCAGGAGAATTGCCTGAACCCAGGAGGCGGAGGTTGCGGTGAGCCGAGATCGCGCCATTGCACTCCAGCCTGGGTAACATGAGTGAAACTCCGTCTCAAAAAAAAAAAAAAAAATGCATTCTATTGTTTGGGATATGTATTTTAAATTTATAAGTGGTATTATGCTAGAGATTATATTCTGTTTCTTGATTTTTTTCACTTAATGTTTATTACAAGATTTATTCACATTGCTGCGTCTTCATCCAGTTTGTTGCATCTGGTGAATATAGTTGTCCCTTGGTACATGTGGGAAAGTGGTTCCAGGACTCCCCCAGCATACCAAAATCCACACAGTCCACATCCGAAAGTTGACCCTACAGAAACTGTATATATGAAAAGCACCCAGCCACCTGCTGCTTCTTATGCACGGGTTTGCATCTGGGGAATATTATAGTTTCCATCCGCCTTTAGTTGAAAAAAATCCACATGTAAGTGTATCTGCACAGTTCAAACCTGTGTTGTTTAAAGGTCAGCTGTATATAATATTGCATGCTAGGTATCCACTACACTTTACCTATCCACTTCCCTAGATTGTCTTCAATTCTGTACTACAATAAATGGTGCTGTGTAAGAATTTCTTTGGGCTGTACACCCAGGTATAAGATTGCTGGGTCATGGGACATACATATATTTAACTTTTTAAGTATTGTTTTCTTAATGTTTTTACTAAGTCTTCAGAGCTATTAAGTCTTGGTATTATTAGAGTTTAGTAATTATGTATTCCATCTTGTAAGTTAATCTTACTAATTCTGTAAATAAAGTCCACCCAACTAAGAACACACATGTAACTAATGCGACATGTAATTCATCTCTGTAAACAGATTTTTCACTAATGATTATTTATATGCATCTGTTACAAAACGTTATTCTGAGACATTATTTTATGTTGCCGTAAATCAGTGAATGAATAAACAAAATGTGGTATATTTGTTCAATGGAATATTTTTCAGCAATAAAAATGAATGAATTAATGATATAACCTGGATGAACCTCAGAAACATTGTGCTAAGTATAAGAATCTAGTCACAAAAAACCATTTTAAGACACCATTTATATGAACTGTCTAGAACAGGCAAATCTGTAGAGACAGTAGATTAGTAGTTACCTCATGCAGGAAACTCGGGAGTATGGACAGAATGGGGTTTCTTTTTGGGGTAATGAAAATGTTGAAAAATTGGTAGAGATAATGTTTGCACACCTGTGTAAATACACAGAAAATTATTGAGTTGTACCCTTTAACTGAGTGAACTTTATGGCGTGTAAATTTTGTCTTAATAAACCTGTTAAAGACAAAACTTCAGTCAGATTATTTTCCAAGAAGCAGGTTAGAAATGAGTTAAATGCTGACCCCTACATGTAGGGGGAAGATTTTCTCCCCTTGTGACAACGTGAAGGGGAAAAATTGGGGCAGTTTTGTTCCCAAACTCTATCCTCAAGTTATTTGAAAATAAACCCATGCATTATTTCAACTAACCATCTCTGAGCTGATACACCCTCAGCCCTGATAATTTGTTTAACTGTTTAGTTATCTTCAAGATATTTTTACTTGTATAACCCACCACCAGTTTTCTTCCCAACTATCCAATTTCTACTGTACTCTCAGTTTTTATATTTCAATAGTTTATATCTCAATAAATCTTGGTGAACTTTTTCTTTTTTCTCATTTCTAGGTCAACCTTTTATCATGTCATATTATCTTTAAATTATTTTTCAAATATGCTGCTTTTTATTCATTAGACTTTACACTGCCCAAAAGGAGAAAATAATTTCTTTCTTCAGTGTTTTAGAAACAATAGCATTGGCAGATATATGCTAATTAATACATGCTTGAAGACAGCAAGGGCATTTCTTCTTTCAACACTATTAACAAGTATCTGACATGGAATAACACTTTTATGAGTAAAAGGGATTCTGACATTTTATTTTCCTTAGTAAATCTTTGGAGGGGGTTAGTACTAGAAATTTTTCTCTTTTGGAGGACTGGAAAATTCAGTTATAATTTTTACATTGTTTTACATACATCCTTATATGATTACTATAATATTTGTATTTATAAAATAAGTTAAACTATAGTAGTCTTTAAGTTAAGTAGCAAAATCCATGATAACCCAGGGGTGCTCAAGTGACTTGAATGCTTCAGCTTGAGATGGGTCAGCTTTAGGGGTGAAGTTGTGAAGAGAAAGCCATCACACACACTTCATCAACACTGTGGAATGAGGGACCAATGCTTTTACTGAGCAGTGGATTTCCAGTGAGCATATAAACTAATTGGTGGGTGAACATGCCCCAGGAGCAATGATTTTAAGGTCATAGCAGGCTCAGTGAATAATGCTGACTTACACTGTGTCTCACTGATAGCTGATCTTACCAATGAGCGGTTTAGAGGCATTCAAGCCTGAGCTCTCTTCCATGTGCCTTGAATGGCATGTCAGTGGTCACTGTTTTTGACATCCTTTATATTTGTCCAGTCAGCTCTAAATCTTTAGGTTCAGCTTCAGAGTACTCAGGAAAGAAAAGAGAGAAGCAATTATTTTCAGTCATTGAGTTTTGAAGATCTTAGCGTTAATTATGCCAAACATTGTTGGTTCATCAACAAATACCTTAAAAGGGGTTATGAAGCATTCCAAACTTGCTTAAACATAATTTATGGTGATTAAGAGAATCTTGGATACACTAATATATTTATTTTTAGGTACACTTTCACCCATATATTTTCATATATAGTTTCAAAACCAAATATTCAAATGAAAGCTAATTTTAATTTTGTTTAATAAATTTTGAAAAGCTTATTTGCTTTTAATTAGCATACTCTTTCTTATTTAAAAAAAGAGGAATAAAAATTACAATTCACTGTTTCTGTGTGGAGCCCAGAGTAATTTTGAGTGTGAAAAATATTTCAATAAAACAAAAATCACAATGTCATCGCTCTAGTAATACTTTTTATAAATTGATTTAATAGTGGGCTTTGAGATTTGGAGATTCTCTCCCACATAAATCTTTATCAAAGATATTTGAGGATTAAAAATGTGCTTTACCTATTGTTTTCCAACTCTCTGTGCTCTCTGACTTGTTGAAGTTTTGCAGGAAGTACCCAAGGGTTTTGCGGAAGCAGCACTGAACATTCTTTCCAAGTGTTCATCTGAGGAAAATGAAAGTTAGAGGCTAAACTGGTATTCTTGTTTCCAACTCAAATTTTAAATCTTATTTCCCATGTAAATAAGTGAAAAACACAAAGAATGTAAACTTCTTAAATCTGCCAGAATCTTGTGTAT